GTTCTGTGGGTCAAAACAATCTACAATTGTATAAATGCACACATAATTCAGTTTAGTGGAGTTTTAATCTTTCTTGAATCCATTAGTGACAACTGCTACATGGTCCAGAATTACCTTGCCCTTACTTTGTTTGTCAGGGTTGTATGAACTCTTCTGTGTCAGCTGTTCTGGGATAGAATTAGATGTCAGAAAACACAGCACTATCCACAATTTACTCTGAAAATTGTGAGATGAAAAGAGAAGGTCTATTTTGAGGGAGCTGCAATTGCACAGATTTTCTTTTCTATCTTCCAGGAATAGAAGTATTGCAACAGGTAGAGCTTAGAGGGCACATTTATGGGTTTGTCTTTTGCCACCCACACAGCACAAACTCCTGTGTCATGCAGTTTTGTTAGCCCCACCATTTTATGTCATGACTGCATTCATCCTGGGGTGTTATGCTGCAAATGAAATGGTGCTATGCGCACGTGACTTTCATGGGACTGCCCTGTAAATATGACTAGCAAGCGAATTAGTAATTGCTATTAAATATTAGTATTTCTCTGAAACAATTTCAGACAGTTCTTCATAATTTGCCTTTTGACTTAGAGAAAAATTTGAAATATCTGAAGGTGAAAACACAGAAACTTAACTAGTGGTTATATTCCTTTCCAGTGTACAAAGTGAGACTCAATGCAAAGTCTGGAAAACTTTCTGGTTTCAAATGTTTTATAAAGGTTGCAGAAAGGTGTTGCTTGCGTTGCAGAGAGCTTGTTAGAATCATGTTTGTACACTTCTGCTTTCCAGTCTCTTCTTCACAAGTAGCCTTGAACTCCTGAAAATTCTAAGTTATATGTACACTTTATCTAACAAATATGGAAATGATATCTAAAATACTTAAAATTGCAGATTTCTGACTTTGAAATAAAAGTGTTCAGAAAGCAGCTGATAATTTTTTTTTCTACCCTGCACAACTACTAGATAATCACTGAATGATGCGCTTTGGAGAGAGTCACGTAGAGGTTAAAAATAGTTGTGGATGTCTGATAATGACTTTCATACTTTAGACCTTTGTATTTCCATGAATGTAATCTAAGATTAAAATTTGCTATTATTCAAACCATTTGGGCCTTTCTTTATTGTAGCTACAATTTTCTGATGAGATTTTTATCAGAGGTAAGAGCTAAGTCTTTGAAATATAGCTGCTGCTGCTGACTTTGCATGGGTCCCTGCTGTGGGTGTGTGCAGCCTCAGAGGAAGGAGAAGGAAGAGTCAGTGGCGGGGACAGAGCTTGCCTTTTCATCGGCTGATTTATGTGGCAGCATTAGAATTTCACCTTTTGTTGAGCTACAATGATGAAGGGTTCGCCATTGGAAGATGCTAAGCAGCCTGACTTTGATTTAAGAATGAACCTAAATCTGTGCTTAACTGTAAGCATTTAAATATTCTCACTGAAGTCACTGGTTTGAGTCAGAAATACCTGTCATAACAGCCTTAAATCTCAAGCAGATCTCTTGTTTGTGTGTTTGGACTGGCACAAGGTGACTGAAAACTGTGGTAAGGAATGGTGAAATAGAGTCCCCTTCAAGGAAAGATCAGAGAGCAAGTTGGGTTAATGTTGAAGGAGAGACAACATTGGAGTTGGAGATCTGAGTAGAGAAAACTGGTAAGAACCAAAAGAGAGATCTGCAGTCAGGTGTTTCAAGAGGAGACATTTAAAGAGAGGTTAGTATGTAGAGGAAGTTCTAGCAGGAAGAAAACAAAAGTTGTGAAGGACAGTTAGATGAAATACTAAAATAGAATAGCGATGGGTTTCTGCTGCTGTGCTATAGGCATAAGGGAAATATTTTCTTAACCATTTCCATTTTTATTTAAGCTTTTTTCAAGGGAAGCAGCATGATGTAGTTAATGTGATACTATGTTTTTGATTTCCTTTCTCTTGGAGACTGTATAAAGAATGATATATCCTTTAATTTAGCAATTAAACTCAATGGTGTATGCAACTGTAGATGTTTATTTGGTGTTTGAAAGCAAATGGATAATCTTTTGCTTGTGTCTTTTACAACATCATTATCTTTTCCCCCCATATACAGTTTCTTTCCTTTATGACACAGTGACCATTCCTGAAAGTGCTAACACAGTGAGAACCAGAGGAGAAAATAGTCGTAGGACACATGAATCAAGGTTATTTTGCTTTCTGATGACTTGTACAACCTTTTGTCTTCAGAAATAAACACAAGCTTTTATGAAGCTATGAAAACAAAAGACAATAAATACATTATTTTTTCTGAGAGTGTGTGTGTTGACTCAAGAAGTAGTCCTGGCTGTGTTATGGATCTGTGAAAATGATGACCCATTAGGTGGCAGAGCTCAAATTTTATTCAATAGCGAGGTTACTGAAAGTATCAACTGTAATTGTACACGAATAGTGACTGTGTATGTGAATGTGTATATAATGTCATTTGCATTTTAAATTCGTCTAGGAGCATCTTGGGGGCATCTTGTTTTCTTCCAGTTAAAAAATATGAATAGCACCTGTAATTAAGGGAGAAAACTGAGCCCTGGAAGCTAGGTAGGACTTCCATCTATTGATCTGTGTAAACCCGGCTTATGCTGTCAGGGGAGCAGCAGTCAACTGCTGAGCTGCTTTGTCACTGACATAAGCTGAGAGAGGATTTTTTTTTTTTTTTTTTTTTTTTTTGTCTATACTGTTTATACACCAGTCTATAGACCTGCTGGCTGGTTGAATTTTAAAGAGTGCGGAGGTTTAAAGACTTGTCCCCCGAGGGATGCTCCTGCCAGTTGGGAAGCGAGCTGAGGCTGCTCTGCAGAAGTTGTGTGCACGTGTGCTGGCTGGGGGAGGGACGAGGTGGCGTGGGGGAAACGCCGTCCTGCAGCTCAGCCTGGAAAACGCTGCAAAACATACCCATAATTTTGCAGGTTGTTTAGTCAAAATATTGAGCTAATACCTTTGTTTTTTTTTTGTTTTTGTTTTCTTTTTCTCGTGTGATAATTTATTCTGAGAGAATACAATGGGGAACATAAATGAATACATTTCCATACCCAGTTTTGAGTCAGTGCTAAGCTTATCAGACAGTAATTAAAGTCTTTGGTAGCAAGGAGAAAATTGTTTCCTGTAGTGTGAGAATAGGTGCAGATTGAGAAAGAGAATTTAAGTAGAGTTTAAAATACTATTTCTTTAGAATGGGGAAAAAAGCTTTATGAGCCTGAAGTGAGACTCTTTGGAGATATTTAGGAAATTTCTGAGTTAAAAGTTTTTATTAGCCTGTTCTGATTGCTTTCTTTTGTTAGAGTTTATTATGACTACTACCAGCATTGTGTATGCTTATTTCCTGCCTACAGAAATTCAAATGTTTACCTGCCCTCTTTGTATGTTGATCCTCACCCTCCTGCAATGGCCACTCACAGCGGTCAGAAGGGTGCTTGAGCAGTTTCTTTTGGAGAGTATTATATGTACTGCTGTTGTTCATAATTAAGTTAATAACCTTTCCCAAAACACAACATGTGGCTTTCGTACCCTTCTTTATTTGTGCTGACAAAGTAAAAGTTCCAAAGACTTCGTGAACTCTCTTGGATGACTTAGAAATTCTAGAGAAGTTGACTTTTCCATTTTGTACTGTATGATGATTTACTGGGGCACATCATATAGATTTAAAATGTTGCAACTAACATAGCATGTTGTATTCAGAGGCATCTTTTTCCTGAACTATTCGTCCCTTGCTGATTAACTTGCATGGGTTCTTCATGTTGTACACTATTCACTGAGCCAGGCAAATGTTTAAAGTAAATAGTCATTGTGGTGTGTAGGAATTTAAATACATAATTTCCCCTAATGGGAGCTGACTGTTCAACATGAAGTAAACAGAGAATTCGGGCTGGAGAGTGCTGACATCTTAGATCAAGTCATTAAACCCCCATGTGCAGCTCTGGAAATTTGCAATCAATATGCATTTTTCTGAAAACACACACCTTGTCAGATAACTCATGTATACAGCAGTATATGTCTGGTCTGCTACAAAAAGGGAATTCTGTAGCTTTGACCAACTACATTGATGTCAACTGTCTCTTCTTAGCTTGAAGCATTTCACTGAAGGTTTGTTTTCCCAGTTGGGAACAAGAAAATAAAACAATAAAACCTGTTTTTCTGGGACCTTGTAAAGTCATTGTATAATGTTTGCTGCTAGCTGATCTGGTAATTCACTTTTTTTTTTTTAAGAAAAACGTTGACTAGTTTGAGAGAATTTTTATATTTTAATTAACACATTTTATTTGCCACTAAACAGCTTCTTAAATAAAATTCTGCAAGAAGGAGTGACATTATCCTTTCATATTATAGTACAAATGTAGATCCGGTGGATTTCTCCCCCCACCCCCTGCTTGCCTTTATTAATAGTGAGGCTTGCTTGTGAAACCCAAAGGGTTAATCATATAAATTTCTCCTTTGGACCAGCAGACGATTTCCATCATTTTTAGCTTTTGACTACAGAACATGTATAGAGTCGTTATACCTCTCTGTAATTCATTCTGCTGCCAACTTCATTCCCTTTTCTCTGCCTGCATTTTAATTGAAACAACATTTGTATTTTTGAGCCAGGATCTGTCAGAAGTCCCTGTGGCTAGTCTGTGGTACAAGTAGCAGCAGACGTGGCTTACCCATATGGTGTGGTGCTTCTTGTAAAATCCATATGGCCTTGTTGAAGGGAATCCCAGCGGGGATGTGAAGGGTGTTAATACCCTTCAGGCCAGGCCTTTCCCTCCTGGGGCTTCTATGGCATTGTCTTTGCAATCTGCCAAAGCACAAACTTAATTCCTTTTTAATAATCAATTATTTCAGTCCGGGAACGTGTGCTGTATTTTTTGCAATCATATATTCCTTGAACTTATTATTTGTTATGAGTATTTTTGGGTATTTTTTAAAAGCAACCTCTAGCTTGCTTTTAAAAGCCTTTCAAAAGCCTTTTCAAAAATCCTAACTTCATTTCTTTTACTTGTATTTACAGGAAGTGCTGAACAGCGTTCCAAAGTTCTGCTTTCCTTTTGACATTGAAAGGTATGTGGTATAGTTATTGTTTATTTTAAAATATTTTATAGAAAATGATATTTAGCATAATTGCAAGGAAAGATTTAAAGAAAAGTAAAACATATTGTACTCCCTGAATTTGCACCTGCAGATGAGAAGAACATGTTCTTTGTTGTTCAAGTAAGTATGAAATCACTTGTAGGAAATTATCACAGCAAAATGGAACCTTTACAGAATTTTAGGGATATGTCTTTCAAGGTGGAGCTACATTCCAGCGCCCAATTTTGACCATTATAATTGTAAATGCCATCTGTGTTAATATAAGGATATAACATAGTTTCCTTCAAACAGCAAGCACTGTAAAAAAATGTTATGGTGCACCAGGATATAAAAACTCGATGAGCAGTACCAAAACCATGTTGTTAGAGTTCAAAGAAATTAAGACTTTAATTGCATGGAAGTAAGTGACTATGCAATTGATTTTTCTCAGCAAAGAATCAAGACCATTATTTATAATTAATTAGCCCTTACCTTTCTGGTATCAGTTATAGTATGGCTTCCACGTAATGCTCTGCCAGTCATTTAAATTGTTCATATAAAATGTTTTTATTAATTAAAACATTTATTTAGGCTTGTCAAAATGATTAATGGTAATTAATTTAATAAATTGTACTCACTCAGTTTGGAAAACTCCTATTGTCCAAATCAACAAAGATCAAATTAAGAGCTTGCTTTGCCTAATTAATGAAATCTACACCCAGGTAGTGTGCAGGCAGAGCAGGTTTCAGAACAACTTTGGGATCAGTTGTAGTTGCTTCTCATCTTTGACTCTCCATCTATCAGACGCAAGAGGCTGCTGTCAGTGGAGTAAAAGATGGTGTGTGTATAGAGGAAAGAAGAGAGGCTTTGCAGAAAAACATAATGGCAAAATAAAGATCTTCATAAACACAACTTCCCAGAACTGGGTTCATTTAGTCTTTTATAGCTGAATCTAATTAAGTTGTTTGGGTTTTGAATGGGTTAAGCTCACTGTCCTTTAAGCTGTTTTAATGACTTAACTAATACGATTGACACTGTTGGCTTTAAAGCATTAAAGTCTTTAATGTGCTTAAGATATGTACAGAATTCTGTTTAAAATTGGTAATGAAGATGCATAATGGAAATAAAATTTGATCATAACAGAAAAAGGTGAGGTTCTGTTGCTGCCATCCAGTGGCAAGAAGATAAGCAGAGGCAGCAAATAATTATTTTCAAATAACTCATCTTATGTTAACTATTTCTGTTGAGCCATTCAGAAGAGACTTACTTGCTTGGATGAGATGGATAAACTTAATCAATAAACTGTGGGAATATGCGAATTTATAGCATAGCTACGTATATATTTTAGCTGAGTATCTGAAGGAAAAAATAAAAGACAGAGTTATGGGATGTTTGTTGTTTGCCTGTTAATACCCTCCCGTGCCCCCCTCCTCAGACAACCTTTTTGACTCTTGGCATCATACTTGACTGTAAAGCAGTGCTCTCAAAGGTGCAAAATTCCTTCAGATTTCACAATTGGCAGTTGGATGGAAGTAGGAGAGGTTCTTGGAAGCTGAGATATACTGATGAGGGGAACAAACCCGACATGGTCTGGCCTGCTGACTGCTCAGGCAGTACTGTCGTATCTTTAAAATCAACCATCACATTCGCAGCTTCTTGCATAGCTGGGAGCTGAGTTTTAGCGGATTTGTGGGAGAACCAAAGGCAATGAGGGATCACGAGGGTACAAAAGAGCATGGACAAGGAGGAGGGGCAGAGCTATTGTGGGGAAAAGGACAGAAGTACTGGAAACTCGTTCTGGAAAGCAGGCAACTTTACTGGCAAGCTATTTGTGTGAACATGTTACTGGCTGTGTGGTGTATTTACCATTCAGTAATCAGTCCAAACATTTTCTACGAAATAGACATACCTTACCACTTTTTTTTAAAGAAAACCAGTTGTCTTCTGCTACCTCAGTTTTATTTTTTGTTTTGAAATTTGGACTGATAAAGAAAAAGATTGAGAAAAACACTGCTGTAGCTCCTTTTTGTATGGCTTTTTTACAATGGACATGTAAGATGTTGCAAGTATTTTAGCTTTTGTCTAGTCATAAATGTGCTTTTCACTTGTCTGGTGGATATATATACACACACACACACACATAAGCTTTGATTTAAGTGAAATACAAAGTATCTGTTTCACTGATTGAGCATGTTTTACTTTAAAGAGCATACTTTCTCAACCTGCATTATGTGTACTGTTCATATATAAAGCACTTTGAGCAATATCTGCTCCTAGTAAGAGCTAGAAATTAGCAGTGCAAAAGTGGTAACTTCTGCTGATGCTCCTGATGCACATACTTAGAACAAAAAACGTGAGTCTAATCCATAGATTGTTTCTGGATTCCTCCTATATATCAGAGTTGGAGGGAATGTAGTGTCTTTTCTGTTAACTAGCTAAATAAAACTCATTAAAGTAGGAACTAAATTTTTCAGATTATGAAAATAGGAAAGTTAAAGCACTGATAACGCACAGAGTTAGATTATGGTCACCTGTTTTTTTTTTCCAACTCACCTGTATTAATGATGAATTAATTGAGAAGTGATTGAAATGAGAACATGTATTTGATTTTGTTTCATTCACTATGCTATGGTGATCATAGACAGAGATCCAGATTTAGTTCTCACTATTTGATGGTGCTTACATCATCTTATCAGATACACTTTATCTTTTATGCAGATGTTATGAGTAACTGTAAACTACTTGTTTTAATTATCAAAGTACATACTGTGAGCAGTGATTAAAAATCTAGAGGTAACTCCCATTAAAGTTAAACTGAAAGTCAAGCCAAAAAAGGCACAATGGTGTAATGTTTTGAACATGACTTTAAACTTTGCGTTCTATATATAATTTTTTATTGAAAGCAAGCACATGATTTCATTACTGCTGATTATGGCTTACATTTTATTTTGAAGGGGTTAAGAAATTAATTGTGCCATAGAAGTTCTTGAACATTGGCTTCAAGAACCTATGTCCTTTTTTTTTTCTGAATAAATTATTGTAGGCTTAAATGCCATAATTGTATAACATTCTAACAGTTCACTTGTAGGTATTTATGAATATGTTCCCTTTTCTCTGCTGCAGAATTCCTTTCTGTGTTTCTTTTCATAAGGAGTAGGAGGATTTAACATTTGAGAACACAGAGATTTTAATTTCCTTTTAATGTTTGCTAAACTAATATTAATACATCAGAAAAAGTACTTTGTCTTCCTCTCTCTTGTTCCTTGAATCCTTTATGCAAATTCTGCATGTTTTTCTTAACTTTTCTTTCTCCAGCAGTCTTCTGTATTTTCACTCTGAGCCCAAAACTCAGGTGTAACTTTGAAGAGAGCCCACACCTTGATCTCTTCATCTATCAGTTACTTAGCTGGATGATGCCTAGTGAGCATGCAACTAATCCTCTTGTTCCTTTTGGATCCATTTCAAATTCAGTCCTAAGTCACACTACCTCACTGTTTGACCCCTCAATTTTATCTGTGCTTTGAATCTCTCTCATTTGTCTCTGCAATAAATACTTCCCCTCTCTCCTTCTGTTCTTCCATCTTTTCCCTTTCAGGATGCATTTCTTCTGCTGAAGAAGAATGCTTCTGGCTTTTTAGCTAAGAGACTTTGGAAACTGCCTGTAGGATCATCATGGAGTCAGTGATATGTATGTCATTAATTTCCCCTGTGGTGCTCATCCGATAGCAGGGAAGTGTTATATTTTGGAGTGTAAGAAGTGGTGGTGGTGCTGCTGCTGTATGAGTTCTCGTTAGCAGTAGAATATTGGTCAAGTATGGGAATTACTGTGCATATTATTTAACTCATAGTCTGTTCAGGTCAGTGAGTAATGATGGCAGGAATGATGTGACTTCACTTTGCCATTCCTGGCTAATGCTGTTTCTGTTGGTATTTCTGGTAAATGTCTGTGTGCAGAAACACAGCTATGATCAAGACAAATGCAAAGCAATGGCTGTACAGATCATTGGATTTGCAGATCTTGTGAAAGGCAATTATAAGATATTTTGCACAAAAAATTTTGCCTTCAAAGTAGATATTTGAGAATGATAAGTGAATAATTGAGAATGTATTTCAAGCTGTACAGGTAAAGTTAAATAAGCTGTAGCATTCCTTGTATTCTTCAGCCATTCGAGTCAGTTTGCAAGATGGGTTGTGAACTCAAAAGCGTGGCAGCAGTTTTATACAATTGAGTTATTTCCATCCTTTATCTCATTTGATATGTGTGTGCGTAATATCAAATGTATATGTAAGACAGAAGTCTTTATAAGGACAGGTTGCAGCATACACTGTGCACTGTGGAAGAGTGTAATTACTGGTCTGAGAGGGAACCTGGGCACTCCGAGAGAGCTGCAGTGTGCTCCGATCAGCCCTCGGCCAGGTGTGATGGGCAGGGCCCTGGACAGAGCAGGCTCCTGTTGTGACTTAAATACACCTGGTGAGACTCTTTACCAGTTACTTGTGGTTTCTTTTAATGCTTCTCTTGTTTTGAAAACATAACCCCAATTATAAGCTAATTATGCTTTTTGTTTGTGGGAATTTTCTTACTTGGTGGTAGCTTTGTACATTTTCATATCTTTTGCATTTTTCTTCCTGTTCCTTTTCTTTCTGATGTGTAAGAGGTTGGGGTTTCTGGGGAGCAGAGCTCAAGTCAGGTAGCTCAGCTGGAACAGAGGAGCCCTCCACACAGGGAGCCCGAGCTGTGGAGTCATGGATCATGGAGGGGGCTTGGAAGTGGAGAACATAGTGCCCGAAGCTTAGATTTGGGGATAGCAATTAGTTGAAGGAGATGGCCCAACCTAGGGTTACTGTCTTCCCAGTGTCTCCATCAGCTTATACCACTACCTTAACATCTGGTTTTCAAATTCCTGCTTGAAATGGTTTCTAATCTGTTCTCTGATCTGGGGAGAATTAGAGTGAATGACTGGTGGGGTTTGCTTTTCAGCATCAGATTGGGAGATGAAATACATTGAAATTTTCAGGTTTAGGTAGCAGTCACCGAAGATTTAATTAAGAACTGTGTACTTTAGTTATTTTGGTCAAGTACATGTATGTGGCACCTTATAATTAACAAAAGCAGTAACTTTGTCGTCTTTTAAAAATAAGTCATCAAAATATGTATTCCCATGAATAGTCTTTTATTTTTTGAAACTCACTGAAAAAATGAACTCTGAAAAATCTCTCTGAAATTCAAAATCCTTTAAAAATTCCTAAAATTTGAAGAAAAAGTAATTTCAGAAATCATCTGTGTCCTAGACAGATTAATTTGGAAGAAGAGCAATTTTTTTTTTGAGAGTGAGGGATGAATTTAATGATTAGACATGCTGTTTTTCATTTGAATAGATTTAATTCCTGCCTTAATTAGCTCTCTCAATGAGGCCTTAAAACGAGGCCTGAAAAATACCTGTAGTATAAACAAAAATATTTAAAATTACTCTTTACCTACTCCATGGGTACTAAAGAGCCTTTTCTGCACTGTGTAGATATGTACTTAGAAAAATTTAAAAGCTACTTTTATTCCTATAGTGAACTGTAATTACTTTGAAAGAGCCTATTGTAGTCTGCAGGATTAATAAGTATTTACACACATTCTTTGCTTTTAGTGATTTATTGTTGTTAAACGAAGATTAAATGTAAGCATGCAGGGCAAGAGTTGAAAGTAGGTTGAAAGGAAGGCAGAGGAGTGAGTGAGGAGAAGGTCAGCGACAGTTGGGAGCGATTTGTGCCTGCTCTCCCCGTACAAGTGAGTAGATTATGCTCTCTTCAAATAGCCAGCTAGACCAACGTTTTGCAGCAGGTTTTTGAAGCTCAGTCTGTTGGTCCCGTGCTTCAATAGAAAGTATAGATAACATTTTGCGTAGGGAATTCTGGTACATAATAATACTGCATTTTACACGTGTTGATTTTCACGCTAAGGAAAACTTGAGAGGCAGCACTGCTGTGGTTCAGCAGCTGTGCCAGGAGTTGCTGCCTGCCTCTGGAGGTGAGGCTTGACTTCTGAGCAACCTGAATGTGCCACAGTGAAACAGAGAGGAACGAGCCCCAGCTCAGGTAGCCAACATTTGTCCACATTATGTTACATGCAACATATCTGTTAAAACTGTAGTGCTAGCACTTCTTGAATGTTTTGTGTGTCTGGTTTATACATCGTGGTTGTCTATTGATATACAGAAATCCCCAATCACCACTTGTTTGTTTCTGTAAGACTTACATATTGTCAGTTTTAGTTCTTCTGAAGAGGAGTAAAAAAATTCAGGCATCCTTGCTGCCCCCAGATCTTAAGTGGAGTTCTCAAATTAGAAACCCGGAATTAATTCAGTATTTTAAACTCTGATCAGAAAGCGTTGTCCAGATGGATGGTCACTGGCTTCTGCTAGCTGTTCCTTTGAAGCAAATGGGACCAAATGCAAACTTCTGGGATTTTTGTGGAGATTCAGTTTTAGACTAGGAGATTTTCTCAGTTTGAAAATCTGGAACATGCTGCTTATATCTTCTAAACTCTGTGGGAAGGAGTTTTCAAGCTGGGCCACTTTTACACTGACTGTCGAAACATGGAGTTATCTCTCTTAAAGAAGCAAAGGGAAGACATTGAGTTGGAGGTGGTGAGATGGCATTGGAATTACCTCCTGCTGAACTGTAATAACTTGCCTGGGATATTTTTAATAGAATCAATTTAAATCTCACTTTTAAAGTGTTCTTGGGTAGTGACATTTTTATGTGTGCTTTAATTGCAATACCAGTTATTTTTCCCATGTCATCTTCAGTTTTTGGAAAGGGAGGAGGCAAATAACTGAAAGCAAGAGATCCTTACTGATGTGAGTTTTTTGGGCTAAGGAATTGTTTTCAAGAAGTTATGGAATAGTCATCTGCCTGACATAAATGCACACAGTACATTAGAAGTGACGCCTGCATAGATGGGCATCTATTAATTGTTTTTTGTGAATTATCAGCGATCTCTTTGGGTTAAGATGGTGCATAGAGACTCCAGTCTAACCATGCCAGGTGTTTTGCAGTGAAAGAAAAAGCCAGTAATGGCTGCAGAAAGCTCCAAGCCTGACAGTGGAACGCAGGAGGCAGCCAGGGTTCCACATAGTGTGTTACCAGTGCTACCGACTGAGCAGCTACTGCTGAATTACTGTGTAAGCGCCTGGCCACAGTGTGCCCGGGGATACTGCGCCCATACTGCAGGTTTCAGTGGTGGTCTGCGCTCAGAAATGAAGAGGAAAATGCAAAGACGTGGAATAGAAAATTGCATCACTGTCAGGGGAGTAATAACACGTTGTTATTAATGGAGCTCTATTGTATCAGACATAATGTACAGGCAGCATGGTAGCTATGCAGAACCTGAAAAATGAAGGACTGAGTGAAAGCATTTGAGCATTTACTGGGTTTGGAGAGCACACTACGTTGTTCTAGTCTATTGAAGACAAATGAGGAAAATACTTGCCTAAATTATTTGAGTTTAATTACCTAACTAAAAAAAAGTCTATTAATTATCATGGGTTTCCAGTGGTTATATTGGACTAAATGTATCCAGTAATGTTGTATGTACAAAGCACAGATTTTTGTTTCAGGCTAGTCACTGGATGTTCACAGGGGACTAGACCAAATTGAAATGAGTGGGAGGCTACAGTCACGGTAGTGGTATCACTTAACTAATCTTTAAGCTTTGGTCATGCACATTTTAAGCAGTGTAATTTGTGTACGGCCAATGTAACTTCTCTTGCTCCTTGATCATCTGCTACTTCTTTCCTAGGGAAAAATTTTTCTATTTTATTTTGGTGGAGATTTAAAAAAAGCCCACAACATAAAAACCAAACCCATATCGCAGGGGATAAATTAAAAAAAAAACCACCTCTGTGTTCTTAGATTGGAAGACTGAGATCTCTGGCAGTTCTCAGCTTCTCTGGGAATTAATTTTTTGGCTTGGCATGTAAGGTTGAGCCACACGTGATACATGATAGTTATAGCACTTACTCGTTGGTGCTTAGCTATTATCCTGCAGAAGATCATGTAAGAATGGGAAAAGAGCAGCAGACAATAGAATTATAGGCAGAACTACTGAATTTTCTGTTTTCAAATCTCCATGTACTCCCCATCATAACTTTGTTTTCATTCGTTTTTAATTAAATCTTTAAAAGTCACTTCTAACCCAAACCATTCTGTGATTCATTCTATGCCACACATTACCTCTCCTGGCTGAAAATGCCAAGTCTACCTAAAGCTGATTTTCTTTTGGAGATTTTGGAAAAGTGCAATATGCGTTTCTGTGAATAAACTTCAGATACAGTTGTTTGGTGTTCTAAAATGCTTCCACTGAATGCATATTGCAATTTCTATGAAGATCACTGAAGTATGGCCACATAGTACGGCTGCCCCATGCTCTCAGTGATCCTCTGAAGCTGACAATTTGCACAAGAGAGAAAGGAGCCTGGCTTGAGAGCATAAAGGAGATGAGCCGTGTCATGGCAGTGAAGATGCCATTAATTCTTAGAAAGAAACTGGGGAGAAGTTCATACAGTCCAGCAGAAAGTGGGGGGTCAGGAATGGAGGTTGGGACTGGGACCTGGAGATGAGTACAAGGAGTCAGAGGTGACACTGGAAGGGAGGTAGAAACTGAGAACAAAACAATTACCCTGTACTGCTGAGGGAATGCTGAGCAGAGCTTGGGGATAAGAGGAGTTGGAACATCAGGCAGGGAAATTTTGCGTAAACTTGCTCTGTCTCAAGTGGGCATGTTTTGCTACAGTCTTGAACATATTATTACTTATTATTTTAATTCTTGTGATGTTCATTCTTGATTATTTTCTGGCTTTTGCATTTCCAGAATCAAAGAAGTTTGCGCTGAAAATGAACTTAACAAGTTCTTTGTTGGGCAATGTGTAGTACAAAAACAGGAGGAAGATGTGAGTGGGTGTGTGAGAAGGCTATGGGTTTAACCAATGAAGCTGTTCTGAAGGCAGGAAAAAAAAAAAAAAGGCAAGCTCGTTTTCTAATGGCTGTCTTAAGCCAGGCCTGCATTATGACATATAATAAATAATTTGTGGAAATGTCAACCTTTATTTTGGTTACCATTTTCCACCATTGAGGTGTTTTCAAAGACAGCAAGCTGTGGCAGGCTTGTAGTGGCTCTGGTTTAGGCCTTGCTTAGGGAAAGACCTTATGAGATACCCTGTCTGCTCAGTCTAGGGGCCAGAGGGCGCGGAGCACATCGGCTGGAGCGTGGGGCCGGGGCGGCAGCTGGAGGCACAGCGGGAGGAAGGAGCTGTGCTCTTCTGCACAGAGGGGAAGGAGAGGGGTGCGAGAGGCAGCCTGGATGGTGGGAAGGGAGAGAAGCACAGTGAGGCTTGAGCATGAAAATGCTGGAGACCAGTGACTTAAATGCTCACGTTTTATGTGATATAGTGGTTTTATGCTCTGTATCTAATTTTTCAGGGTGGCCCAGAACCAAGTAGGACAGCATTTTACCTTCGTGCTCACCGACATTGAAAGTAAGCAAAGGTTTGGATTTTGCCGTTTGACATCAGGTGGCAAGGTCTGCCTCTGTATTCTAAGGTAGGTTGATATAAGAAAAATAGAAGAAAAAATTACATTTTGAAAATTCTCTGCTAATGTGTTTTACTTCTCTATCGGGATATCATTTCCCTACAACAGTGTTACCATTGATTTCACATGAAGAGTGGTCCCAAGCCCCATATGATGGTATTCTTGTGTGAGGCTAAATAATTCTATTTAAATAACATGAAATTTCTGCTTAGAAGCAGACAACAATACACTGCAGCTTTAGAGGCTTTGAATGTTATGTGGATATTTTTACTTTCTAACGAGATCTTTGATTCAAACAACTTAACAATAAAGCTCACTGTTCTGTATTCCTCTTATTGGAAATAAGATTTTGGGGTGTATCTTCCATATTCTTTGGCCAGACTATATCTAATACAAGAAACAGCAGAGCCAGATAGTTCTCAATAAAGAGCATGCTGCTTTGTTGCGGATGAAACACTGATGATAGAGAAACTGACCCTGGTGAAATACTTTGTTTCTCCCTCTGCTTTTTCTTTCTTCTAATTTGGTAATGAGAAAAACAATTGTTTAACTGCCCTAAAACCCTTTTAATTAAATTAATTAAAAGTCAGAGTGCTGTAATTAAAGGCAAATTCGTAAATTGAGTCTAGCAGCCTGTAATGCCCATAGAGGAGAACATCCATTTCAGCAGCACATGAGAAGAACAAGATTGAAGTGTAATTGCCTTCAAAGTATGAATCCCCACACACAAGGTGGAAGAGGAGCCATGTGCTGCCAAAGAGCCAAACCCATTGGCAGCAGAGGTGCAACATGGAGAATTTTGGAGAGAAAGGTAGGAGGTTTATGGAGAAAAGCAGATTATTGGGTATTTGGACAACATGGAAACTAGGCAGTCATGGAAAGTGTCATTAGGATAGACCACATGAGTTCAGGAGATGAAACCCATTAACTTGTAAAAGAACACGCGGAGGGGAAGAAAAGACCAGACAATATAGAAACTCATAAAATAGTGCTTACAATTATTGAGAATATCACGTCAAGACTTTTGTGAGCTTTTAAACAGATTCCAAACTAATGTTGAGAGCCAGTATGCTGAAAGTTTTTGGGCAAATAATTTAAAAATAAGTATTTTTCTTTAAATGTTGCAAAAAATAGTAATTACTACCATACAATAAAAATAGTAGAAGGAAAAGATTTTATTCTGGAAAATAATTGACTTTTTGTGATCCTGACAAGACTTTTTTAATAATACTTCAGGAAGGTTTAATTCTTAGGATTTTGGTGTGTATAATGCTTAATCTTTTTTTCTGTGGTGCGATTTGTTGATATATCTTGTTAAGGCCCAGAGTGTGGATGTATGCATATGCTTTTAGCTCTTTTCTCTGAGTTAACCTTTTTTTTCCCCTCATCAGGCTAGAAACAAGATTTTTAACTTGTATTCCTAACATTTTCTGGATGCCTTCTAATGCTATAATAACAAATGTTGAATCAGTTACACACACTTAACTCACACATTTAAATACAGTATGTAATGCTGCAAAGCAAGGATGCAAATTCTCAGCTGGTGTAAACTTGGATATTTCTTTTAGCATTTCCCCACAGACATACATCAACTAAAGATTAGTCAATGGTCTGCTATTTGGTAGAAATAACTAGGAAAATGAAAAGTGGCAAGCTATAATTTTTCACTGAACCGCAATCAAAGCATTGCTTTTATTGCTTGTATTGTGACAATTTCAGATTTACAATGCATAGCTGAATGCGTAACAGCACTAGCTTCATAGCATTGTACTTTTAGCTTGGCAGTCAGTTTCTCTCCAATTTGTGTGTTTGTCGTGTTTAGCTCAGACAGAAAGAATGCATCAGTATTTGCATCCGATATATTCTAGCATCCAGTCTGGTTTCTGCTCTGAATCCAAGATTCATTAGAAGTGACCAAGTGAAAGAAGACTCACTAGCAGATTTCTTTTGGCATTTTATCTGGCTCTCCCTTTTACATGCTTGTTGGTCTTAAATTAACCAAAATCAAAGAAATCTTAACAAATTAATGCTGTCTTTATATATAGCATGTGTATGCCTGTTCACACTTGTTGTCTTCAATATAACAAAATAACATAAATTTACATTCACTGTGGGAATATACATGTTATGAGTCTGATGTGTGAGCAATTCAAATTACTTGTCTGTCTCAGATATGTACACAATCATCATAGACTTTTATATAAACACACAAAGGCAGGCATATATAAATACCATGTCTACATACATATGTACATATATGTATTTCACCTTAAAAAGAGGGATATGTTAAGATTGCTGACTTGGGCGTTAACAAAGGCAAACAGAGGTAGTCAAATACAGAAAAATTAACTAAATGAAATGGTCACAAATAACGAAAACCTAATAATCTCCAGGAAGAAAAGCAGGAGCAAGCTGTTCAAAGTGATGAGAAGGAAAGACTATAGAAATTTGATTAGGCTGATGAGTGGGGAACAGGACACAACTTCTCTTGCAAATGTCTTTTGTGGATGGTACTAGGCCATATGTTAACCTGTGCCAGGGCTGCTAAAGAAATAGGATTTGAACTGCAAAATGGGATCCTTCACCAAAAACTGAAGACTGCTTGTCCTCAGGTTTTACACCAACAACCTAAAGCTGCGTGTAAGATTAAAGTCTTGTTGTTTATGGGACTTCTTTCCATAATTCATTCTTCATCTGAAGCACTAATTAAAGGAAATCATCTCTGAATTTGCAGCTATGTGGTCCTGACTTGAACTGGATAGTTTGAAACAGAAGATATACTTGTACATATAAAATTATTCTATAATTTTTATGGAGTTTTTTGTGTTTTATATACACATGCATATGAATTGTGTAAACAGAATTTTTCCCCAAATCAGAATGTTTTTTTCAAGTTCGCTCTATGTTTATGCAGTGAAATAAAAATCCTTCAAGGTAGCTACTGCAGGCATTTTTGTTTGAAGAACTTAATTGTGATACAGTATTATCTAAAATGATCATGCAGAGCTTGACTGCAGTTGTCAAATTTGAAATGCCAGTAAGTGCAAAAACATATCAAGATAAGAAAATAAATCTTGGATTATTCTCCAGAAGTTTTATGTGATTCCTTTGCAAGTTTTGTTTTGGTTTGTTTTTTTCTTTAAACTGCATGACTGCTTTATGAAGCTCTTAGTGTGAATCCTGCTGTGTCACCTCCTCCCTCGCCACAAACTGTTGAGCTAATGCAGCCTCATAAGAATGAGAGGTACCACAGTAGGAATGTTGTAATATGCCTTGTTCTGCTCATAAACTATACTGGATCTTTTCTTCTAGTTTTACTTTTTATATTTTAATTTAAATAATAATTTTGCTAGTTGAGATTTGAAGTGGCACAGGAGAAACTTCAGTGTTCACTTTTGAATAATAGAAGGAGATTTAATTCTTCTGGGTATTGTTTCTAAATATCACTGCTGCTTGCAGTAGAAATAATACTTTCTGGGTTTACATTAAATTGGTTTTGAATTACCTGAACAGTTTTAGTACAAAGTTCAAATAATTTGACTGAAATTTGTTTTGTTAAAAATCTTGAAACTGTTGATGGACTTGGAGATTGACCTTACATATCCAGAAGAACACAAAATGCATCATTAAAACACCCAGTCTTACATTTCATTAATTTTATGACTGTAAAATTGTCACCTATGTTTCCAAATGAAATGCTCTAATAAGGAAGACAGGTTTATGTGGTAAGCCTTTGTAGTTCTTCAGTTCAGACCACGCTTGAAGCTTTTTCGCTCTTCCTTTAGGCAAATCCCTTAGAAGCAGAATGTTTTAATTTTACACATTTTGTGTCAATTTTCCAGACAGAAAAGTAGCCCCTAGACATTAGACATTTAGCTACGGAAAGGCAGTTTCCTTAGTTTTATTTGATTACTAGAAGTTAGATTCCTGCTGATAGTTCAGGACTGTTAGTGGTTACCTGACTATTTGACAGAAAACATTTCCTCTCCTTTATTTAACCTTTGACTCATGAATGTAAAAGTTTTATCAGAGCTAGAGTAGAAGCACCAGTGAGGTGGAAGTCTACTTACGGCAACAGGGGTTATGCGTGACTTTGAATAAAAGTCTGAGCTCCTGCCTTGTGCCTCATTTGGATTAAAAGAAAATGCTAAGTACGTTTTTAATTAACCATGAAATATCTTGGGCTCTTGCTTTAGTGACAGACAATGGCTGTACTTTTAAATAAAGACCACTGTATTCTCAACCACGGAATACATATCTATTAAAATAATACTGTGTATGCTTTGTTGTTTTTATTTACTATGGGAGAAATGTTTTGTGGCAACTTTAGAGAAATTGTTGTATGTTGTTGGAGGTTGTTGTATGTCTTGTATGTTTGTCTTGTGTGTTTGTTTCTCAGTTACTGATCATAATGTGGGGAATGCAAAGGCAATGTGTACAATTAAAGAAAAATAAATAAGAAACCAATAATGGTTTCATAGTTACAGAACCTAAATTATTTTTATTTCAAGTTTAGGCTTCTAGATACATTAAAATTGAAAATTAAAGTCCTGTTTTTTCTCTGTTTTATCTACTGTGTAGGGGTTTCAATGATAACCTTTTGACGTTTTTGTAAGACAGCTAATGAATTATGAAATATACTGCTCATAAATAATTTTATGAATACAAGTATGATGGTAAGGTCTCTCTAGTAATGGACTTTAGTTTTGATTTTATCTGTTGTTAAGATGCATATTAGTGTGATAGTTTTGAGTTAGGAGTAATGTTTTACAGGTCTTCTCTGTTAAATTTGGCCGTTTCAAAACTATTTTTTGCAGGCAGTGCATTTCTGTACTGACTTGAAAAAAAATTGTTACCCAACCTAACAGATGTTGATGGGCATGTGTGTGCTGGATGACTTTTCTCTGCATAGATTAGTACTACTGTGCTAAATGAAGATTAAATAATTTTGCAAGATTTGCTAACAGGACAAGCTAAGAAGATTCCTTTACCTGTGGTAGTGCTGTTTTTTATCTGTCATCCATACAAGTGCCATAGAAGCCAATGAGGCTCAGTGTGGGGTCCTGCACTTGGGTCACAACCACCCCACGCAACGCTACAGGCTTGGGGAAGAGTGGCTGGAAAGATGCCCTGTGGAAAAGGACCTGGGGGTGTTGGTTGACAGCTGGCTGAATATGAGCCAGCGGTGAGCCCAGGTGGCCAAGGCAGCCAACAGCATCCTGGCTTGTGTCAGAAATGGTGTGTCCAGCAGGACTAGGTCAGTGCTCATCCCCCTGTACTCGGCACTGGTGAGGCAGCACCTCGAATACTGCGTTCAGTTTTGGGGCCCCTCTCTACAGCAAAGACATTGCAGTGCTGGAGTGTGTCCAGAGAAGGGCAACAAAGCTGGTGAAGGGTCTAGAACACAACTGTGATGAGGAGAGACTGAGGAAACTGCGGTTGTTTAGCCTGGAGATAAGGAAGCTCAGGGGAGACCTTATCACTCACTACAGCTACCTGAAAGGAGGTTATAGTGAGGTGGGTGTCAGTCTCCTTTCCCAAGTAACAAGCGATAGGACAAGAGGAAATAACCTCAAGTTGCACTGGGGAGGTTTAAATTGGATTTTAGGAAAAAGATGTCTTCACTGAAAAGGTTGTCAAGCATCGGAACAGGCTGCCCAGGGAAGTGGTTGAGTCACCATCCCTGGAGGTATTTAAAAGACGTGTAGATGTGGTGCTTAGGGACATGGTTTCAAGGTGGACTTGGCAATGCTAGGTTAATGGTTGGAATCGATAATCTTAAAGGTCTTTTCCAACCTAAACAATTCTGTGATTCTATATACAGTGCTTTATCCAATACGATGTACTGGATAAAGATATAAAGCCATTATGTAAAGCAAACGCACATGCACTTGCAAAATCCTGCCTGTGATATAAGAGGACAAAAATGTTGCTTCAGTCACAAAATAAAAAGAGTTTAAACTTGTTCTTTGAATTAAGAATATAAAATACCACCTGATAGCTGTCTTTGTTATGAACAAACACAACCTGTGTTTATGTTTACTTGTGAATACAGAGATGCATTGTATATGCACACACACAAATGCATTTTATATTGCTTATGAAAACAAATGTAGCAATTCTTTATTATACTGAATTAATAGCAATTAGCAAATACATAAAAGAAAAATATGAAGGTAACATTTCTACTTTCCAATAGATCTTTGTAATATTTTGTTGCAGTGAGAACACTCTAAAAATATCAACAAAAACTTTTGTAATTAAACCGTGCTTTTGAAGAGCTGAAGATTATGTGGAAAAGAAACAGAGGACAGGTTTTGGTGGCCTTTGGTTTCGTGCCATATAATGTAATGGAGTACTTGTTTTGATTTGCTTAGTTTTACAGGTTTAAGCGACATGTTGAAATTATATTAACCTCGTGTCCGTGGCTGTAAGGCTTAAAACAATTATTTTTCCAGTCTTTCAGCTCAGAAATGAAACAGGCATTTTTAAACTATGTTCAAATAGTCTGTTTTTACAATGTTTTTCTTTATGGTTTTGTTACACAAAGACATGGAAGTGTATCATCAACCTGATTTTGCTAAGGGAAGAAATTACTGTGTGAATACTCTGGTCAGCATGTCTTGCCATATGAGAGAAAAGTCTCCCTTGGCTTTCTGCTAGGTTCATTAATTTCAAATGATGAATTTGACCTCTTTATGCATAGACTTAAAAATTGCATTTAATTTTTCTTTTCACAGTAAGAGGGAAGTTGAGATCATAGACACAAGAGAAAAATATGGTTAATATTTTATTGAAGTAGGAGCATTTATTTTTATAGAATTCTGTTCATAAATGTTCATTCTGAAAAAAGAATAATCAGATAAGGTTTTAGAGTATTCTACAGCAAAATATGCTGGGGTGATGTACACTGCTAATGCAGAGGTGATAGCAAAAGACTGGAAAGCTTTTAGATAATCTAACCCATTTGTGTGTCCAATGTTATAAATGCTTTGTGATTTATACTTGCCTTGTACCTTGACTTGGATAGTGTTCCATTCCCTGCTGTAAGTCTGGGCTGGTAAAACTGTTCGATAGCTCTGACATTTGCTGGTACTCCGAATGCTGTGTTGAACAATTTTGTTTGCCTATCTACATGGCGTTTCAGCGACATGTAAAATCAGGTTTATGTGATTTCAGAAGATAATAGAACAGGAGTCCTAGGTGGAAGGAAACTCAAAGATCAGATGTTTTAGGTGCTGTTTGGATGGGTGTTTTACAAGAGCGTGCAGCATTCATGCCTGTAAGCAGTGAGGGGGCTTACACAAGTGCAGTGAAGTAAATTTTATGATTATATAAGAATATATTGAAAACTAAATGCAGCAATGTCGCACCTTAGCTACTATCAACAATACCAAGCATTAAAAATGTCTGTGAGCATTAAGAAGTTGATGTAGCTTTGATTAATAGCCAGTGCAGTGTATGGTAAAGTGAGATAAAGACATTAAAACGTTGGCTCTGAAAGAAATCATTGCCTCTGTGTCTCTTTGGCTTGACAAGAATAAATTCATGATGGTTTTCTGTGTTGCCTTTTTTTTTTTTTGCTTGTTTGTTTGTTTTGTTTTTTTTTAAGAACTAGCAGTTAATCATTTATAATTATAACAAATAAGATTTCTGGAAAATGCATAACTGTAAATATGTTCAGATTTCTGCTCTTCTCTTCCTTTACCCTAAGAATTGGGATCTGTTTCTAAAGCCCTGCCAGCTGTGTACAGAGAACAGAGGTGTCACAAAGAAAACATAACCCTTCACTGGATTCACTGCAGAAAAGTAGACTTGACTTCTCTACCAGCTAGGGTTTCCCGCAACAGGTTTCCTATCAGGGAAAACATTTAGGTTATGCATACTGGGCTTTTTCAGTTGCAGTTAGCGTATTTCCTGAAATATATAAATTTGAAATTTTAAGGTCTGTCCACAGCACACACTAAAGCTTTTAAGAAATGCATTGGAAGTATTTCTGTGGATTTACACTGCACTGAATAACAAAGGATGTAGTACTGTTACATATGGGTATGAAATGTAGTAAAAATATTTCAGGCTTTATTTCCTTCCCAGGCCTCCTTCTTATCTCAACTAATATTAACTATACTGTTACCATTTTAGTAATATTCTTTGTGATAAAATTCCAGCAGACATGAGAAGATGTGTAATTTGTAAATAAGGAGTAATTTATACTGGTGCTATTTAGTTTACCAGACTTAGTACATCTGTATCATAGGCTTAAATAGTGATTATGGAAAGTTCTGTAGCATGAGGCCACTGTTGGTGTCACTGTTAAAGGTAACTGTTCTGTAGATGTCAGCAAAAATGGAACTGATGCCACTGTACTTTTGCTCATGCTCTTTAGTTACGTCTTACTTATCTTAGATTCTGTTTAACTCAGAGCATTTAATGCATATGGACTACAGACTTGTGTTGAAAGTATATTAAGTATTCATGTACTAATGTACGTTGTGTTTACAATATTGGTGAATGCTCTCTTATTTTTAGAAGTTAATTCTATCTATAGAATGACTTCATAGGAAGACCAATATTCTTACGTATAATACATTATTATACTGTAATGTATTATAGTATAATATATACTATAATATATTATTGCATAGCAATGCACCACTTGTCAAATACAGGGTGCTTGGCCTGACCAGATGAAATTGTTTTCCATTCTCCAGGGAAGCAACAGTTCTGACAGTCCACCAGGTACAACAGGATGTAGAATTTCAAAATTGCAAATAGCGTAACTACAGAAAGCAGTAGCAAGTAAAGATAATGGGAATGTGATTTGGCAATGTTTAATATGCTTTTTTGGTGCCTTTAAAATAATAAGAAGTGAAAGTACTAAGAGCTAATATGTGCTTACTGGAACTTCCAGCAACTTTGCTACTATCTATCAGTGATGTACCACTGAATTTGTGGGGAAGTTTTATATGCATTTTATTTATATGTGGAAATATTATCAAAATGTGCAATCCAGATAAATTGTAGTTGTATTTTATAAGCACTGGAAAAAATACATGTATATGTTATTAAAATGCTTTTTCCCCTCCTGTTTTAGTTACCTACCATGGTTTGAAGTATACTACAAGCTCCTAAATACCTTGGCAGATTATTTGTCTAAAGAACAGGTAATTTTAGATATTCTAGTTCTTTGTGTATAATATTTTCCTTGAAATAATAGTCAGCATTTGAAGTGCTATAAAGTGATTCTATACTGTTTAAAAGTTTAAGATTTTAATAGAATTTAGAAGCAAGTTTTTGCATTCATCGTATTGAAATTCAAAGAATCTGAACATACAGCTGCCACTGTCACTTGAATCCCACATTAATCTTAAAAAGCTGCTGAGAGTATACCTTTATAAAGTGTCAGTCTTAGCATAAACAAGTCCTGGGTGAAGTGTGAGCAAAGTGTCACATCACTGGAGATCTGTATGACATATTGATTGTAAACTGTAGATCTCTGGAACTATCTGATTATCAGTTACAAGCACTTCTTTTTTTCAGAACTGCATAAAATATGATGTACTGTTTCACCCTTCATATTAACTAAAAACTACCTCTCGTAATTCTGTCATCTCAACTAGCAAGACAAAATTACTTGCAGCATTTGGTGAAGAATCATGATAGTTTAGTTTGCATATTCATGAGCAATTAGCCATATTCCAGGATTAGGCAGGAAAGGAAATACTGGCATCTGTCTTTACTGAGAACATTAAAGCTATACCTTTTTCCTTTAACTATATTAGTGTACTAGATTATAATGTAAAAAAAAAAAAAAAAAAGCATCACTAGTCAGCCATATGCTGTAGACTGGAAGAGCTGACATTTCAAGAACGAATGAACTATAGAATAAGCAGTTATTGTGTATTATAGTAAATGGACTATAGAGAATGATGATATTTTATGTAAAAATAAAATGCAGTAGGAAAGTTTGTTGTGTTTAAGTAAAGTGTAGAATACATTTAAGTCTTATAAATGGTATAATGAGTCTTCGATTTCACTGTTATAGTAAAAACTGTTATTAAGGTGGTATTTGATGGAAGGGGTAAGGATTGTCTTTGCCTTTGTGTCTTGATCACTGGTTCTGATGTTGCAGCTATTACTGCAACTAATTTAAGTTGCTGGGATATAAGTTTGTTGTCCTGTATGCTGAGAAAACGGTATTGATGTATCAGAAAGTTTTGGCAGTGTACGGAAGTATTGCCTGGTGCCATAGCTGTTGCTGAGGAGGCTGCTAGAGGGCATTGCTCCCTCCTGGCCCAGGCACCGTTTGTCTCACCAAGAGCTAGACCCAAAGGCTTGCTCACTAGTATGAGATCCAGTAATATCATCATTCTTGCAGGGAGAGGTGGAAGCTTCCTGCAAACTCAAACAATACATTTAAAAGCTGGCCCTGGCCTGTCACTGAAATTTTTGGTTTTCCTTTGACAACAGAAGGAGTTTAATCTTTGTGATTAAAAATCCTAAACTGAATGAAAACACTAACAAAAACTCCAGCCACATCTCTTTCCCAAGTAAATGTCACTTCAAGAGATCAAGGTTGGGGTACCTTATTAACTGTTTTATGTGCTCTGATGAATTGTTTTTAAAGTATACAGTATAGCTATGAAGCTGCATATTTAGTAAAACTTTGAGTAGACTATGGTAAGATGCACAGAACAGCTAGACATGCTAACACTATTTTCAGTTGCAAATAAGGTAATTAACTACATGTAAGAGATTGACTTAACTTACAGATACAATCATTTTCTGACATAAAAAGTTGGCCTGAATTTTATATTTGATATTTAAATAGTTCACTGTGAATTGCAATTGTCTTTTTCATTAAATATATATATATATATCTATATCTATCTTTGTCAATATATAGTTTGGTGTGTAGTAAATGGTAAGTAGTCAGTTTTTTATACAATAATTAACTACCTTTTATAAAATATTCCCCATAGGAAAATGACTCAAATGATTTGTTAAAATCATTGTATAGCCATCCTGTGCCAAAGGCGAATGCTTTAGTCAGTTTAAGTGTGGTAAGTATTCTCTGTTTAACTCCTACTCCTGTTACTGACTATAAAATAGCAGGTAAGGTTGAATCAAGCAAACAGAAAACCAAAAACCCTATGTAAACAGTAAACTTATGTTGCTTCCCATCATTAACTGGCTTGGATAACCATTTTTTTTTTTTTTTCCTCTGTGCAGAATAGAGTTTGTCTCTGTCTCATGTTCTCTTAAAGCCATAGTCATAAAGAAGCAGAAATTTGAATTTTGCTCTGTGGATGAGAAAGTAAATTGCAGTGGGATCTGGCAGTGCTAGAACTACTTTTTTGTGCTTCCAGCTGTTTCACATAGATAATTTTGGTTTCTCCTGCTGTGAATTGGGAGACATTAACTCTGTTTTATTGCCTATGTCTGAGTAGGTAGACTTGGAGGATTGGACAAAAATCTGTGTGAGCTGGCTTCTTTCCCATCTTCCTTCCCCTTCTTCCTAGTTTTGCTTGATCACGCAGAAATGCTGTAGGAAAGATGGTAGAAGTGTACTGTATTACATGAAACTTTCAGCACATCTAGGTGAAAGAACGTGTTCATGCCTACCTTGAATTTGTGCTCTCACTTTTCGTGGTGTGGGACTGGACACTGATAGCATGGCAAGGTGATGTTGCTGCAGAAACATCAAAAAGTGAGCCTGTCACAGTTCCTGAAGTTTTTAACAGAAATAGCATATGGACACATGTTTAAATACATTTGTAGAGCCTGCATAAAATGTAAAGTCAATACAGAGCCTCTGCTGCCTCTGAGACTTGTTCACATTCACAGCATCTGTACAATTACTGCATGCATAAGTAACTGTGTACAAATAAATGTTTCTTGATTAAACTATCACAGTTAGTAGGGCACAGAAAGTGATTTTATAGACTTCTCTTACCACATACTGAAAAGCCATTAGATTATTTATCTCAACCTTATTTGTATAATTTCTCGTCACTTTTAGCTAATTTATTTTAGAAGTGAGTTCAGTACTTCAAGTAAAGTAAGGACAGACTCCAGAAAAGCATCTGGCCCTATTCTGAAGGCATACAGAAATGGAGAGTCTACCAGATCCATTCCAGTTGTTACTCACCTTTGCTGCTTAACATAATTCTACTGTTTTTTTTTTTAATTTGTCATATTTCAGATTCTTTGTTATGCTATTTTTCAGTAGGGTATAGAGGCCTAATATTTTTCCTCATTGAACAGGGCTAATCCACTGTATTTGGAAGTCCTTCCAGCCTTATGTGTTGTGTTTCACCAGAACAACGTGCTCCGTACCCATTTTTGAGGCTGCAGTTGGAATTGTTTCTGTTGCTAAATTTTTTCTTGGTTATCAGTGTAATATTTGCAAGTTGTTTTTCAGTTCGTAGTACCTTTGCCAAGAATACTTATGTATATCAGATAATATTTTACTATAATTAATTGCAGTATTATAACCAATTCTATTTTGGCAACCCTAAAATGCTTTATAAAGTCATTTAAAAATCCTACTGTGTTTCAGAGTGACATAGAGATGTTTTAAAGGTATTTTTCCTTTCATTTCTTGCAAAGTGTTACTGTCCATTGCTATCAGTGTTACATTTCATCTAGCATAGAAGTTCATCTTGCCTACTTCAAAATGAATGTTGTGTTGAACCTGGAAATGGATGTTGTGGTGAATACAGCTGGCAACACTGGGATGAAAAATTGCTTGCAATAAGGTTGATGCTTGCAGATTTTATTTTGTATTATCTGACTTTTGAAATTTATTTTTTTTTCCTCAACTGTCTTTTCTTCCCAGTAGCTTTTTACATCAAAGAGTTTTGTAATCTTTTTAGCTGAACAGTGATTATCTAAATGCAGGCCTCTTGCCAAATGCTTGGCAGTAGGTACAGTCGAGCAAATATTGTGAGTTCAGACAGGGCAGAGCAAGAAGGAATAGGTTAGCCTGAATCAGAATGCTTGTTGGATCTACAGGCATCTCTGTTCTTGCAATGCTCAGTGCTGCAGGGAGCTGGGAAGTGTTTATGGCTGCTTCCGACTCTAACTTTGTGTGCCTAGGCTTCTAAATTGATGTTCCTTTCTTGCTCTTCATATATTGTAAATAAGCTAGACTGGAACCATGACTAGTAATAAACTCAAAAAGAAGCTACAGTCTGAAAAATAAATGTAGAAATGACATCATGAGGTGGCTTTTCATTGTGTCAGGATGAGTAGTTCAAATTTCATGATGCAGAATTAAGAAGATCCTTCCCCCGTTTACTCAGGTATACTGCAGCGTGACATTCCTAGGCATTGAAGTGGGGTTTAGATGGCAAACCACAATGCTATTTAGGATTTCATATAGATAATCATGCATAAATTACGCCTAGTATATGGATATACGGTATTTCTTAGTAATACTTGGTCAGTAGGACATCAAAATGCCTTGGCCCAGTTCGGGACCAAGTTCTACCCTCACCTGTTGGTCCCAGTAACATATTCTACAGCTGAAATTTGTGAGCGGTGATCATTTGTTTTATGAAGCCTGAGTTTAAATATAATTTGGGTCACTTTTATCTGCAAAGGACTAATGGAAGTGATTTTTATTTTCTTCTTTTTTTTTAATTTTATTTTTTTGTTGGAAAAGCTAGCTAAGTTAAGTCTGAATTCAAATGGGGGAGGAATACAAAGAATAAAACATGTTTTCAGCCAGTATTTTAAACATGGAATATTACAAGCATTAGAGTCAGCTTTGGCCTTTTTGTTGGAAAACTAAAAAGTCAATTGTTCAATCTTTCTCTCATCTTGCATAAGAACCAAGAAATGATTTTTGCAAGTGAGCAAGTTTTGAAAAAACAGCCTTGTCTTGTATCGGTGAGTTTAAAAGGCACTGTCTAAAGACTATTATATTTAAAGAAATAATTCCTTGCTATAGGATACCTCTTTTGATTTCAGGCTTATTTATACCTGTCCTTTGGGAAATTCTACTGCTGTCTTTAGCCTAAAAGAGCAGTCTAATACCAATGTACCTATTCTGTTTAAATCAGTCTAACTTCAGACCTATGTGTGTGGGTCATTGTCCTTCGGTAAAAACCACAACCAAAATCAAACCCTATAACTAATCAACAAAACTTGCATTTTCTACTGTCCTTCCTAGAGAAAACTTTATACAGGACAGCAAATATTAATTTAGTATCTCTTCCAAGGTTGTACATCTTCCTAGGGGAGTTCACAAAGATGTGCAAGGACTCCATACCACATTAATTTTTGCTGCTTTATGACTCTTAATGACTGCAGTAATGGGTCTTTGCTTCTCACAGTTCTGACTTCCTTTTCTGTTTAATGTGCGAAATATTATTACTTTGTTAATTATATATAATTACTTCTCTAAGTTATTAACTTAATTACTCAGAAATCTTTTGATAAATATTCTGTGACCTTATTACATATAGGAAATAATTTTCTTTTCTCACTCTACTTCTGAAGGATGTAGGCATTCCATTAACCTGCATATTTTCCTGTTCTTGAATAGAGAAAAAAAAATCTTTGCTTTTTTTCTCTCTTGATGCAAAACAATAACCTAGGATATTTATTGTGCAAATGCTATGATGTTTATGGTATGCCTTTTTTAAGCCAATTTTTTTTTCTTAAATTTTTAACTATTGCCAAATGACCTAATTTGTGGGGAAAATTTTCTATAAAATGTATCAAGCTGGTTTAATAAGTCTCCTACACAGAGTTAATAGTATTAATATTTTTTTTTTTTCGCTTCAACACAAGACACTTTTAATATCTTACAGACTTCCTTTATGTTTTGGTATATCTTTTTCATGTTTGACTTAAAAACAAACTCTGTCTTTGTGTTGTTAATTATAATTTTAAAATATACTATAAAACCAAAGAAAGTCTATGAAAAATGTCAAAATTCCGTTAAAAACAAATAAAAGCTAAAAAGTCAATAATTATCGCATTTACTTAGTATGCACTTTAGGTTTTTCTGTCCTTCAAGATTTAGACTAATATGCAAAAATGCCTTAAAATTACTGAGCTAAATCCATGTCTGATAACCACTAAAAGCACTGGTTTAATGAGAATAATTTAAATTACATCTGGTTTTAGTTTAATCCATTTTATATTTACATCCTAGATGGTCTCAAACTAAGATGCATAAAATTGCTAATGTATTTCATAAATGATTGTGGAATCTCAAGCTGTCAGACCTTGCATTTCTGTCAGCACATTTTTGATTCAAAGATGTTTGGAAAGAGAAGATAATGTATATCAAGTAATAATATTTCTATTCTAATTAATTTTCTCATGTGAATGATCTTTCCTTTTCTAGTCTAAATTTACATTTGTCCTTTAGCATTTCATTTTTTTTTTGGTTGCAATTTTTAAACCAATGCTTAACTTAATCAATGCTGCTCTCAGGCTCCTGACATTTAAGCTGGCTTAATTTCAGTGTTATTTCAAAACTGCAGCCCAGCGTTTTGTTCCCTTGGTTTGTGTGCTGTGCTGAACCAGAGCTTGTCATTTCGTGTCGTGATCTGCTTAATTCTTTGTCTAGCAGTGGTAAGAATGCTATTGGAAAAATGGCTATTTGCTTAAACAAAGATGGGATTGGAAATCCTAAATGCTGGATTTTTTAAAAAAGGATTTTTTGTTTCTGTGTGCATAAATTATTAATTATTTTTCCCCATTAATTAGCACTCGTATTTCATTACTCCTGATATAACTGGATTGCCAACAATCCCTGAAAGCGTAAGTATGCAGTTTCTTTTTTAAATATTTAAGAGAAGTATCAACCTCATTCTGTGGGTAGGGCTGAACTCTGCTTTTATCAGTAGTAGATGTTTTTTTTTCCAAGACTGTTTTTAGAGTATGATTGATGTCTATTATTACAACCTTTAGCTAGCAGTTACTGTTGCATCCATCATTAACCCATTTTAAAGCATTAACAGGGCATTTTTGACCACTGCTATATCCACCCTTTGTTCATAATTACTTGGCTTTGTTGCATTTATTGGGATTATTTATGTAAAATACATTCTACGTCTGCATCTCAGGTTATTTGAATACCTGCCCTTTAAACGCTGCATTGCTAAGCTGCAAATTCAGCTATCAAGATGTGCAGTTATTTTTTGTGTAAGAAGACATTGTTTCAGGCTTTCTGAAAACATGCTGTACCTGCTTACGTTTGGATAGTAACCATGCACCAGGAATGTTTTGGTGTTTTGTTTTGTTTTGTTTTTTCACAAAGACTTGCACTCTGTAGATGCTAGATCCTTGACGGTGCTGTGGGTAGACTGCAAATTTGAGGTCTCGGATCGCATTCTCTACGGTGTGTTTAGCTGTATAACATCTAATAAAAGAACTTTGAAACTCTGCTTTCCCCTATCGCGTGCTTTCTGCTTTCCACTCTTGCATTTAAATCTGGACCTGAATATGGATGTATAGATGTGCTTTTCCACACTTTCAAATCATAACTTGCTCCTGAAAGTTAACCTCCTGGGGGGTTCACCCCCGCACGCGATGCCGCGGAGCTGGCTGCCGGCCGGCCGGTGTTGCGGTGGTCGCGGCGGGAGCGCGGCCGGGGCAGGCACGGAGCCTGTGGGGCGGGGAGCGGGCCGAGGGCAGGCCTGGGCCTACCTCTGCCGCGGTGGAGGGGACTCTGCGCCCGGCACCCGGAGGAGGTGGCGCGGCCCTTGCTGCAACCCGGGAAACTGCGGAAAGGTGCTGGAGAGAGGAGTAAGAGAGAGGACCCGTGTTGCAAGGGGTCTTCGGGCAGGGCAAGGCTTAGTTTTTAAAAGTTTATTTTCATCTGTTTCACCCTACGGGTTGAATTCTTCTATTTGAAAGAGTTCTTATGTGCTACCTTATTATTTGGGGTTCTAATAAAACATAGATTTGGAGGTTAGAAGGCATCTTATGTGTTCAACTTGAAGAAAATGTGGGGAAACTTCGCTCTGGGCCTCTGGTTGAGGGAGGATCTTGCCATGATGCCATCCTGCAGGTTAATTTTCTGATTCTGTGGGAGAAAGGGAAAGTAATTTTCCAGGTGCCTTTCTGTAATTATTTTTTGCTTCATTTATATAAGTCTCATCCTTCCAGTATGATTCAAAATAGTATGGTACTAATGGAGGGTTAGAACATGCAGGGAGTGAGGAGATGAGGTAATTAGAGTGAATTAGCAATAAAATGAATTTTCTTCCTCTTTGTTGAAAGATTCATACGTTTCAGGGCCAGTAGCTTTTCAGATGTAATGCAGAAATAACTGTGACTGTCTCCCAAAGATATATTGGTCGGCACAAGATTGCAAACTCTTTTTACCACAGCTTTTGCAAGACAGAATCAGCATACCATTACCAACTACAGTGTTAGAGGGTGCCTGAGGTAAATTGGACTCAAATTATCATGGCGCGTCAGCCTCTGACAACCAGATAAAAGTAGCACTTGAAAGCCCAGAGTTTCTTTCTAAATGGAGTGTTTGTAGCCTTAAAACTCTTGTTTTTATCTCTTTCAAAATTTTATGCAGCATGGACCGGGAATAACTCTATATTATGTGTCTTCGAATCAATAATGCATTTCTGAATTTATCTGAAACTGGATCGCTCATTGGATCTTTGTTTGTCTTTTCGATATCTTCTTTTTATTTAATATTGCAATATAACCCAAGAGGAGGTCAACCTTCTGATCATCATCCGGGCTTCAGCTAAAGTTAGCTTTTCGTACAGCAGAGGCTTTCAGGCGACAAACCAGGTGCTGGTGAGCAGCAGCTCTGCCCCATGCCGCGCTCCCTGGCTGCGGAGGGCCGTGAGCTGGCGAGGCCACAGCTGCCCGCCGTGGGCTGGCCCCTGCGGGGGGGTGCCAGGAGTTCAGGGGGGTCACCCCGCTCTCGAGCCTTTACCGCTTGTCTTTGTCCTTGCTGTTTTTTCAGGGGTGCATTACCTTGCTGCCATGCATTGGCCAGATCCAGTAGAGACTAACAGTTCCACTGTTCAGATTTCTATCCTTGGCGAGGGGCGTATAGCTGATAGACCTCCTACATTAATGTTCAGTCATATGTTGTTCCTGAGTAGCGATGAGTAAGAGTTCTGGTTGCAGATACAATAATGAATGTGTGAAATTAAATGTTTTGTATATTGTGGGGTGTATTAGTATATTTTCATACATATTCTCTAACATTTACAAAAATCTGCTGTTTTCCTAGGCATTTTTGCTGGTTGCTGTTTTAGCTTATTCAGAATTTGTGTGTCTTTGGCACTGTGCCATGCAAAAACACTGTTAAGTTCAGCTGGAACACAGAGATTCATCCCTTTCACCACCACCTTTTTCTCTTTTCCCCCCACTTTTGTTTTGTTTTAACTATAAATAAGAGGTGCTGGTGACTTTGCTTTTCATTAAAGCCCACAGTGGGGGGGATGACAGCGATGTTCTTAGGGGCGAAAAGGGTGGCTGCAGGAAGGACCAGAACCTTCCACCAGTGCTGCTGGACAGTTGATGTCCTGGCACGTACAGCTCAAGCAGAAGCTTGGTGTTTTTCAGCAAGCTGTTTTGCTGTACTTGAAGTAGAATAAGATGTGTTGATTTTGGGAGACCCTGGCAAAATAGCACAGTTTTATTATTGCAGCTATGACAGAACAGTTATTGCAGTGGTGGAAGATCTGTTTCTGGGTTGGAAGTAATGAATACCTCAATAGCATACGGTGCTATGGATATAGTACCCAAGTTCATATTTTCTCAAATGTGAAAAAAAAGGGCAAATCTAAATGCACAAGCATAATCAAATGAGCAAAATATTAATAACACCAAAGTTAATTTTTCATTGGCTTCAAACCCTAATCAATTATTCTTAAAGCATACAAATTTTAATGCAAAGGGATTTCTTTCATAATTTTGGGTTGCTTTTTTTTCCCACCTACTAATTAGACAAAAATATTTGTAAGTAATATATAAAATGTTCCACTTAACTAATACTGTTACTATATTGTTAACATCTTATTTATTTAAACAGAGAAACCTCACTGAATATTTTGTTGCTGTGGATGTGAACAACATGCTGCAACTTTATGCCAGTATGTTGCATGAGAGACGAATCATTATTACCTCTAGCAAACTAAGCACTGTAAGTACTTCACACATCTCCTTTTAAGTAGAATATATTGAACATTTCACAAAATGACCTGCAGACCTTTCTGGTTTTAGATATGTTCCATGTGTACTTATAAGACAATATCTACATAGTTTTCTGATATATGGTTTTAGTCTGGCTCTTGAAGTACAAAAGTCTGATTTATATAAGACCTACTCAGATACATTAAGTCAGGTTAATTATTTTTCTTATCAGGAGATGAGAGTTCTTTAACTCTCCTGAGTTCATTTCTGTGCCTTCTAACCTAAAAAGAATTCTTAAGGGCTATTATAAGATCTTTATTATTCACTTGTGGCTTATTCCATTGGAGCTACTTGAAAGAAATCAAGGGTCCATAATAATAGCTGCTATCCTAACCTGGTAATAGGTAGATTCATCTTTGTTAGAGTGGTTTGGGAGTGCATACTGTAATAGCTCTGATTTGGAGCAGTTCTTCAGGCTGATAATAATGTGCAAGTCAAAATAGCAATTTTTTTATTAAAGGTTTTAGGCTACAGCCCACATTAAAATGTTTGTTGTTTTTTTTTTTTTTTTCCTCTTACGCCTGCTTAGACTGCTTAATAAAAGAATGTTGTGTTTAATTTTGAAAGAATACCTTAAATTTTCAGATGTTATTTTGTTTTCACAGAATCTTACGAGTTTTTAAAATATCCTATATTAGTATATAGTATCCTACATTCATAGAAGACTGTCACTTTATAACCAACTTTCATCGTATATTTGTTATGCAGAATCTTGTCTGTTAAGCACAGTCATTGAAAATACCTTTTTTTTTTTTTTAACAGTATTGTATAAAACATTTAGTTTAATATGCTTTTTATGGTAGAAAATCAACTTTATGTTCCTGAACACTGCTAATTTTAGTACCAAATAAATGAACGATTATTTTCAACACATAGGTACAAGGTTGGATGTAGTACTAAAAATTAATATTTTCAAAGACTTGCAGGTGCTGATTTCCAATACACATGTGCATGTAAGGAGTGAGAATTTTTGTATTATAAATAGTGGATAAAACCCCTTTAAACTCTTTTGAGTCAAAAGTAGATCGAAGATAAAGAAGATTCAGAATCACCATAAAAGGCTGACAGGTTTTACAATTCTAGGTGATAGCAGTAATTATATAACTGCTTTATTTTTTTTTAAACACCACAGTGTTGGGTCCCTGAATCTGCAGTCACTGATGCAGTTAGAGGAATGCACAAAGGCAGCACTTTACCGGTGGAAATATATAAGCAGAGGCCACATGAACAACTGAAAACCAGAAAAATAAATAATGAATATAAGCAATCTTTAATAGTCTGTGGCATATTTTTTAACTACCAAAGGTTTGACTTTGTTTTAGGAAATTTCCATATTCTGTTACACTCTTCCCCTGCCACCCTCCCACCCCTCCATGTCTAGGGGAAGAATTGGGCATTATAACACGGGAATAAGACCACCCAAATGGGCAAAGAAGATCTGAAGGGAAAGCCCTTTCAAAGAACCTGGCTTAGTAGAAGTTCACATGATATAGCAAAACCATGGAATCAAAATTTTTTTTTATTTTTTCAGTTTGCCAGTCTGGGACCCAGCTTGCTATATTAAAAGAAAAAATACACCAAAAAAATCCTCATCTGCAATGATGCCCCAGTCAGACCTCTTTTACTGCTCCAGTAGAGAGGAGATAGGAATCATGATGGCAGCTCTGTGCCTGTGGAAGATTAATTCTGCAGGCGGCCACGTGTCCGTCTGCTTAACACGATTTAGAATCGTATTCTCAGCCTACGTTTGGATCCTCTTAAGACTTATTTTTGTGAGACTGAACTTCTCAGTTGATCTCCACTGCTGTGATAAGACAAGAGAAGAGGAGGTATCATAATCGCATTGTGCAGATCTAGACCACCTCATTTCTATGTTCAGGTTCCAAGCCCTTTGGAATTCATTATAGAACAACGGGTGTAATATGCTGTTTGTGAGAAACTTTAACTTTGTTTAAAATTCAGCTGTTTATTCCATAATAGTTGTCTTGATGGTGTCCTTACTTGAAAATAGTTTACATCACTTTTGTGGATAAGGATGTGTAGCAATAGCAGACATTTGTAATGGCATTTGGATGTCCTGAAGAATGTCCCCAAGCTGTGAATGTAAATAGTAGATTGCAGGTCAAGTCCAAAAAGAGATTGCACATCAATTTAACTTTCTTCTAGTTATTTTTTTCAGCATTACGTAAGTCATAGCTAGATGAAATTACTGCCACATCATGTTGGATCCACTTTTGATATAGGACTAAGTTAATTTTCACCTGCACCAGTGAGTTCTGATAAAACAGAAAAATAGACCTTGCTTATCAGGAGCTTCAGTGAGAACTGTTAGCTGCTAATCTCTTTCATAAACAGAACAGGACTGATGCGAGGCTTGCTTCTTTACAGAGCAATATAATTTAAAAAATAAATTAAACACTTCTCAGTATCTCCTGTAAGAATTGCCAAGAATGATTAAATGTGTTTTTGGCATAAAATAGTCCGTCTTTAAAATGTTGGATTGCTTAATATATTGCCAATAAGCAAATGGGAGTGTATTTGGGCATTAACATTTGCTAGCTTTGTGCTGTTTTACTATCGCGTACAAAACACAGCAGACTGGTACTTTGTGTTGTAAAGGTCATGTTTTAATATTCCTAAGTTACAGCTTGATACTTGAAAAAATTATTTGTTCAAAAACAGTGCTATCAAGTACAACTTTCTGTTAAGGGAGTTGTGCCTTATCTTTAGGGTTAACTGAATATCAAGTGTTTATGTCAGTTCATGAAGACTGGGTTGTGATGTCACCTTCAAGTTATCAGCTCTGTTTCGGTTCACTATCTCAGGGCAGTGACTGATAACAAAAGGCATAATTCAAGGCATTGCTCACCTTCTCCTTGCCCTTCTTGTGGGGGGCCAGGAATGGAAAACTATACTTACTTATGTAGAGGAATTCTTTGTCTAGCATATCTGCCCTATAAATTTTATTCTTTCATTATACTCAAGTAAAGGAAAAGTAGAAGGGAAAAAATGATACTGTATTTATAAAGAAGGCTTACTTTGGATGAAAAAAGAGAAAAGGAAAAGAAGGTTGCCTATTTTAAGCCGTTGAGTACAGCTTTTTAATTTGATCAAAAAAAAAAGAAGAAAAATATAAGTATCATTTTATCCTGAGGGCGTGTTTCAATTGTCAGTTTATATTTTATTACAGCCGAGCAGGATTTGTTTTATATGCATCTGCTGATTTTTGCAATTGTTACGTATTCTTTACATCTTTCTTCAAATTGACTTTCTGTGGTTTTACCCCATTTAAAAGCTCCTTTGGAGAACTTTGTCTACTTGCCCTACCAATTATTAGCAACATATAAGTGGAAACTTCCCACCACTCCTTTCTATTGTAGCTTCTGGGTCATTATTTGCCCTAACTGTTGATTCTTTTATTAGCTTGACTTTCCAACCACTTTAATAATGTGATTATCACCAACCTCACAGCTTGCTTCAGGCTTAGTGTTAGAGAGAGATGGATTCAGCTAGCCTGAGGATTATGTTCTGTAAGATCTGTTTGTAGCAAAATTACCATTTCTGGCTTTTGAACAGTAAACTATGAAAAACAAACAGATTACATGGTTTTGGATTAAATGAAAGAATGAATGAAACAAAGGAATTGATCTATACACAGAGGTGGCTGTCAGTTGTTTCACTTTAGCTGTAAAAGGAAGACCTTTCCTAAATGTCATGCTGTATGTTCTTACACAGCACTGTTTTCTCACACGTCACTGCATCTGCATGTATTCTTATTAGTTGCATGGAACTGCATGAGTTTCGGCACAAATTGTTTTTTAATTTGGTCTTTCTATAAATTATTAAAGTGCTGGGGATGGCGTTTCCAAGAAGGCTGAACTACAGCATTGATTTTATGCATGCTGGAGGCAGGCCCTAGATGTTTTGGCCCCAAGTGCACCTGCTGTGGTAGTCTACCAGAACATCATACCACACTCTCATGTATTCAAAGCAAAGGAATAAATCATGATTTTACAACAGTGCATCAGTTGACTTATTGCTGTTTTGTGACCGGAGGTAGGAAGGATTGCTGTTTAAAGCCATGTCATCGGTTCTCAAGTCACTCAAGCATGAAAGCTTGTCATATGCCTCTGTAATTGTACCTCACCAGTCTTTCCCTAACTAGTCAGCTGGGGCTGTGCGTTTTGTCTCAAACACCCGGCTGGCCAGTGTCTGACAGGAGCTTTCTCATCATCCTGTCAGTAATATGCTAACTAGAGTGTATCTTCTGTGGCCTACACTGGCAGGTGGAAAGTGTGCTACACTTTAAAGCAAATGTCTAAACGTTATCTCCATTTTGACCGGTATTTGTTTCAGGTAATACAAGTCAGATGTGTCTGAGAGCATGGTGGTTACAAAGTTCTGCTTTGTGCTGCCTGTAGGTTTCTTTGGTCTATAAAACAAATGTATATGTCAATAAAAGCTACAGATTTTATTTTTATTTTTTGTGGTGAAGGAGCACTGTATATAAATTTACACACAAACATACATTTGTGGAATCACTTTTACTGTTGCTTATATGCAAAGAGCTTTCTGCAGTTGCCTTCAGTTGCCACAGTGAGTTGGGCTGAGTGGTGGCTTCATGTCCCTTGCCTCGTTAGTCTCGTTCAGGTATGGTCACTCAGGTGCTGGGAAGGTGTGGAGACTCCTTGGAGAATTTAATACCAGCCGCTAGAGAAAGTGAATCCCCTAACTCTAAAAACGATATCTTTGTGAATCGCTTTGCTCCTCCTGCATCTGACTCTATGAAATTATTGAGTTTATTCCAAAATCCGTATGTCCCGAGGCAATAATATTGCCAACTGAATCAGTAAACAACTGTGGTGATTGTCTGTTTCTCTCACTTCACTTAAATCTCCCTGTGGTTTACGTGTTGGAGATTCGTGGGTATGGTTAAAAAAGCTGCCAAGC